TATTTTTCATCTTCATGTCATTTTTAGGATTTAAACCTATGCTTTCTAAAGACTTATTCTGTATCTTTTTCTCAAAATATGTAAAAATATGTAAGGAAGTGAAATGATATGCTCTGCTTCCGGTGGACATTGCTGTAGTTATGTGTGTGTGATTTTCCCCACAGCATTCTGTCATCATTTCCTGCCTTTATTTCTGCACTCCTTGCAGTCATCTTCATAATCTACCTGAAATGTTATTTATTCTCAAGAATGAATCTGCTTGAAATAGCTAACCTCTGTTTTCACATTAAACACAAGGTTCCCATTATGGTGTGCTGTGGGCTGCCCACCACTAACCAGTCATTCCCTGTTTCTTCTCTAGCACCAGCCGAAACACATTATGTATATCCCACCCCAAAAGCATCACTCAGGCCAGAGGAGCCAATGACTGAAGCTGGTAAAGGTTTTCATTCTTTGACTCATTTATTCAACAGATTTTTGTTTAGCATCTTTTATGTCCATGGGACATGAAAGAGTTCAAGCTATGGTACTTGATACAGTTGAGTAGATTTCAAGAACTATAGCTTCCAAAACTTAAAATAATCACTGACTCTTTAAATACAGGAATAAATTGCTGTTTCTCTGCTGATATCTAAATATTAAACCATAGTAACACTTGAAAACCAGTTAATGACAGTTAAAACATATATATGAGTTTAACCATTAGTATTTTCCCCCATACTTATCTTTTTTCTGTCTAAATCTATTTTCCAATCTATAAAATTAAGATACAAATCCTTAAGAGAATGAGGCTATTGGTATTCAAGAAAGAAAGACTTGACTGTGGCTTAGTATCTTACCATTTTTAAAATTGTTCTCCTTTGTTTTGATACAGTTGTGGAATCTATTACAAATGTGTCTGAACCACCTGAGACCACACTAGGTAATGACTTGACTTCAATAGTCCAACTCCCATGTGCTTTCTGTCCTCATTGCCACCATCATCTGGGAACCTCAGGTTCTCTCTCATTGTGAATTCATGTTGCAACATCATTCTTTATCACACAGTTAATTTTCTTTCTAGGTGCTTCTATTCATAACCATTGTCCAAAACATTTCTTCCATCATTGTCATATCAAGACCTTGGTCTCTTTCTCTGTTGAATCTAAAGCACCTTTTTCTGAACACTGAACATTCTGAAAGCTCGGTGTTGTATTGAGTGTTCCATGTGATATTTTGTGTGTGTGTGTGTGTGTGTGTAATGATCCATTTATACTTTCAGACCTAGCAACATGCTTTCCATTAACACTTATTCTGTCACATTCATTTACGTGTCTTATTTTTTTCTCCATTGTTTAAGTGAAATTTTATGTTTCTTGACTGAATCATGCCATAACACATTTTGAATCACTTTATTCCTCTTTACAGTTATTACTGGATATATCTTTCTACCAATGTTGAAGACGTAGGGTACTAGGGTAGAGTGAGGATTTAAGAAGTGATTACATTGCTTACTTTGAATATATTTTATAACCTCTGTACTTTGAAAGTATTTTGTAATCCAGCATCTATAAGCATTTTTAAATGAAAAGCATTGTGAGGAAGTAGTGATGTTATTTTGTTGTAGACACGCAATTTCCTTCCTTGCCTCTTTCCTTCTTTCTCTTCCTCCTCTTTTCCCTCCTTCCTGTCTACCTACTTGTTGCCTTCCCCTCTGTCATCTGTCCTCCAGTTTTGTCAAGCACAATAGTAATTCCAGGAGGGTACTTTCCTTCAACTTCTATAGATATATTACCCCTGCCTTCCAAAACTATAATCCAACCCAGTCCAGATGAGCTTTAGACCAAACCTGGTTTATACATTATGTTGTATTCATGTATGAGGTGAGTTTTTGCAGAAATTTATAGGACTAGGAAGAAGATTTGATAACTACTGAACATCACAAGCCCTGATTGTTTCACTCTGCTCACAATTCTTACTGAGCGAGTCAACATTTCTCATGTCCCTCTCCAGCCATCTTCACAAATGTCCCAAATTCTTTAGGATATGGCTGGAAAATACCTCTCAGCTGCTCTGAAAGTTTTCACTTCAGGAGATCGTAATGTTTCTGTGAAAGAATATTTATACACACAGAAACTCAAATGATTTAAATTACTTGACTAGTTTTACAAGCTCTGTGGTCATTTACAAGGTATGTATTTTAAGATATCTAATTTTATTTGATGAGCCTGAGTGGTACAAGCAGTTTGCAACTACCTGCTATCCTGTTGTGTTGTTGTTATTTGCCGTCAAGTCAGACCGACTCATAGTGACCCCTCCTTGGGTTGCCGAGGCAGTATCACTATGGAAGTAGATTGCCCAACCTTCCTTCCTAGGAGTGGCTGGTGGGTTTGAACCACCAGCCTTCTGGTTAGCAGTCAAGTGCCTTAGGCACTATGCTACCAGAGCTTCCAGTAATTCGAACTCACTTCAGGAGCTTTATAGGAGAAAGAACTGGTGACCTGCTTCTGTAAAGATCACAGCTCAGGGAACCCATGGAGCAGTTTTACTCCATGGGGTTTTACTCATGTGAGGTTGCCATGAGTCAGAACTGACTTGATGACAATGGGATTGATTTTATTTGAGATGAAAAGAATCTTCCAGAAAGAGATTTCACTGTGCACTACACATAAAGACATACAACTGGCCAGCCACCTTGTCACTATCCAGGTCCTTTACCTCTTTCCACTCTTTCTTTCTGCTTTGTTTGGCCATTTCAAGGCATACTATTGAATGAAGCTAAAATCAAACTAGTTACTTTGGCTAGTCATGAAGATTTACTGGATGGTGGAGTTTAAAATAAATGAAAATAAATTGTTCTGGTTACCTAGTGCCACTCTGAAAAGAAATGTACCACAAAGGGATGGCCTCAACAAACAGGATTTTATTCTTACAATTTGGAGGCTTTAAGTCCAAGTTCAGAGTGCCAGGCTCTAGGAGCTGGGTGAAAGCCCCTCAACCTTGGGGTCCAGCTCTGCCTCCTGGTCCCGGCCCACTGGAGCTAGAGGCATTTCTTCACTCAGACAGATGCTGGCTGCTGAGGCTGAGAACCCCCCAAGGTTGACAAGTAAAAAGACACAGTCCTGATGTTACCAAACCACACAGCAGGCCATTAGCTTAAGTCCATTGTAAGTCCCAAGGTTGGCAGAGCATAGCAGGCTGCTGAGCAATGACACAGCTACATACAGGGTCCAAGCGTGCCATAGGCTAGAGACCATTCCCAATGCTTCTGCTTAAATACAGGAAGCAGACCACATCTCAAAGGCAGTTACTCAGCTGCTGCCAGTAGATTCCACCATGGAGTTGATCACCAGTCTCATCATGGGGAATACTACATCCAGCTGCCCAGCCACTCAACCAGGCCTAGCCAAGGTGACATACAAACATAACTATCACACAAATCATCAAATGGATAACTAAATGTGCCTCTGCCTACAAGGAAATGTCCTCTCAATACTTGTATGCTTCCTTTGAATAGCAGTTTGTCATAAAGGAGTTTGAACTTTGCTTTGATCACCATTTAAGAATTTTATATGCCTCTATTTCCAAAGGACATATGAATGTTAATTTTACTCATTGTCCTCTGAAATATCCTATTAAACTTTACCAACAGATTCATAGTTTAATTTCTATCAACATTCCACCTTGACTAAATTAATTGAATCTGAATTAGCTATCTCTAACGTTTCCATGTTATTCTTTTTAAGAGCTATAATAATTAATATTATTGAAATGTATAGTTGTAAATACCACTATTAGAGATTGTTATTATATGTCATTTTTTATGAAATTGGCTTATGATGTGACTTTACTTTTAGTCCATTTTTTTCATAACCTGGGGAAAACAAATAATGTATCAGCCAGAATCTCAGCTAGCAAGGAACCTGAAAGTCAGAAAATCACAAGACTGAGAGAAACTCCAGAATCATAGAATTTTAGGATTGGAAGGGTTCCAAAAAATTATGTGGCTTTAGATAAAGGACATGAGATAGAATGATCAGCTCCAAATCTCCAGGCTCCTAAACCAGTGTAATGTCTAACATGTCTTACTGCTCATCTTTCTACAGGTAAGAGGATGCCACTGAAATCGTTGAAACACCTTGTTATCTTGATTTTGTATCAGAAAAAGCCTCTGGACACTTCTTCAGACTTATAGTGTCTAATAACTCTTATTTTCAGCAAGCTTTTTTTAACGTCTCTGAAACTGCTTGGCCTTGATAACCATTTTGTTTCTTCTTACCTCTCCGTAAGCCAATTACACTACTAGTACAAACAAATAAGGTGTTTCCGCAAGCTGTAAACTTGCTGTCTGATAATTACTTTCTTCCAGCAGGATATAAGTTAATTTTCTTAGTGGAGAAATAATTGATTTTTACACTGAAAGTCCTAAATTTCTTTGGAATTTGCCCAGCAAAGGAATGACTCTCTACAGCAATGTGTCCTTGGAATTCAATTTTTCTTCCCCAGTATAATGAATAACAAATGTGTTTTATTTAATAAGATTAATTTTTTTCATTAGCACTTGATATTAAAATGCATTCATATTCTAGGTATATTTGGAATGTGATGTGGAAACTTTGTTTTTAACGTAAAAGAAATTGTATCTGTTTACACTGAAAATATTACATCTGGATATTCTGATGAAACGGCACGGACTTGTAATAAGGATAAATTGTTGTTACTATTAAATTTATTTTGACCTATTTAAAGGGTATTTTAAGTCAAATTTTCTAAATTTCCAGTAGTTTCATTTTGCCAGCTGGATATCTTGGACGGCACTTGACATGGCTTCTTGTTTTGTTTTCCATTACATAAGAAAAACATCTTCTGATACTGTGCAGCTCTTTGGGAGCTTGAATTACTTTAATTGCAATTGTATTTAGGTCTTCAATCACTCAGCAAACATCTTTGATTACCTAGAGGCTTAGGAACTTTGATTCTTGAATTGACCCCAGAGCTCCAAAGCTGTATCTTTCTTTTAGCTCCCAAGCAGACGCCTCGTGCTCCTACCAAGCCAAAAGCATCGCCACGCCCAAGAATCCCCAAAACACAGCCAGGTACTTTTTTTTTTTTTTTTTTTTTTGGCTTAAAAAATTTGAGATTAGTGGGATTAGCAAGTTTGGTTATTAACCCATCAAAAACATGTCTTCATCTGTAACCTAATAAATATTTATCTTTATTTTTTAGACTTTATCAAAAAGTACAATATTGAAATAGTTTATTCCATAAACCTTTCCTCATGGTTGTTACATTAGTTGGGATGGGGACAGAGAAAAATGGAATTTCTTAAAAAGAGCAGCCTGACTATTCCCTCTGCCTCTAGCTTGAGGATATTCTGATCCTCCTATCTCTTTCAATATCTCTGAATGTGCTTCTGTCTGCCAATCACCTGATTTTAAATTTATCATTGATACACAGCCTGCTTCCAAAAGCTGTCTAAAGTACACTCACCTAGTATTCCTGGAAGAGAAACTTCACTCACAATTAATGATCTGGGAGAAGGAAAATATTAGCAGCATCAAAGTTATGCTTAAAACCAAATGTCATTGAGTCGATTCCGACTCACAGTGACCCTATAAGGCAGAGTAGAATCGCCCCATCGGGTTTCCAAGGCTGTGAATGTTTATAGAAGCAGACTGACTCATCTTTCCTCACAGAGCAGCTGGTGGATTGGAACCATCAACCTTTTGGTTACCAGCTGAATGCCTTACGCATTGCACTATCAGAGCTCCTTAAAATTATACTTAACCCAAGTTAACCTGACTTAACCACAAATCCTTTAACCATATCTCAGAATCAGTACTGGAGGAGGAAAATACAGTTTTAGGTGTGCTGAGTGTAACTGTGAGTTGCTAAGACCAAATAACTCATGTTCCGGGTTCTCTGTTTCAGTTCCTAAGGGGCCCCAGCGTGTTACTCCAAAACCAAAAACATCACCAAGCCCAGAAGTGTCATACACTGTACCTGGTAAATGCTTTGTTTTACTTTTAAGCCTAATGCATTCTACTCTCATGCTGTGCTGCAATGAGACGGGAATTGATGGATGTGAAGCCAATATTTCACTTAATGGTCAAAAACCATGTTGTATCATACATAATATGATTATTTCAGAGATATCATAAGAGTTGTCCAATTGCTTATGTAAAGCTATTGGTCTAATCAAAAGGCTGAAAATTATTCCAAGGGTCAAAAGTCTCTTGTAGAACTAAAGTTCTCTTATTCTCTGACTTACAAAAAAAAATAAATAACCTACCATTGCTAATCATTCTATGCTCAAACATTTCACCAAATCAAGGAGGTAAAGATTTTTTTTTCCCACAAAAAGTATAAAACAGTGTTTTCCAAATAAAGGAAACTATGTCTAACTGCTCTCTTGGGTTCAGAAATTTTTCTATATCCATCATTGTGTCTTTTTTTTTGCCAAATTCTGTTTTCCAAGTTTATGGAGCAATAGCTCAGCTTAAGAAATTTGTTTCACAAGAATGGATTTCTTTAACCACAATTCTACTTCTTGCCCATCACTCTGAGAGAGCTTTATGCCCATTTATAGGGGGAATGATTTCATATTTGTGCAAGTGGCTGGGAGGACTTCAAGGACCCAGAAGATTTCTGGGACTTTGGAGCCCCTGGGTGGTGCGAATGGTTAATGCCCTTGGCTGCCAACCAAAAGGTTGTTGGTTCAAAGCTACCCAGAGATGATTCAGAAGATAGGCCGGACAATCAACTTCCCCCAAAAAATCAGCTCTTGAAAATTCTGTGTAGCACAGTTCTACTCTGGCACAGATGGGGTCACTATGAGTCGGAAGCAACTCGGCAACCACTGACACCATTCATTACTACTTACACAAGATCCTCATACTGCCTTAGGACATCACTGTTAACTGAACAGTTTCCTAATAAGTCAAACCAAACTCATTATTAAGTAAAGAATCTGGAAAACTCTGTAAATTTTTGCTCTGTCAGAGGTGCAATTAGTATAAATTCCTAGGTTCTCCTAGAAGCATACAGAACATTCCCAGAGTCAATAGATTTCTGAGCCGTAGCCTGAATGATGGCATTTTGGAAGCAAGCCCAAATTCACTTGCCTATAATGTCTCCACTCCTCGGAAGGAAGATGGGGCAATCTACTTCCGTAGTGATACTGCCTCGGAAACCCAAGGAGGGGTCGCTATGAGTCAGGTCTGACTCGACGGCACATAACAACAACAACAACAACATAATGTCTTCCAGATTGTGAGAACTGAAGGTGTTATTGCTTCTGTGGTATATAGAGTAAGGTTATTTCTGATAGTAGTAAGATAAGGCGACTCCACGGCGGTGTGTGTTAGTAGGATAAAGAGAGGCTCATTTGCCCAAATTTAGAATTTAAATTTCTACTACTAAACACAACAACCAATATCAATCTTAAAGTAAGATGGGGCTGGGGAAGCTGATCTTCTCACTTGCAAGAAGCCAACTTCTTAATTTCAGCTGAGGAAAAAAACAAAACTTACTGAATTCAGTCATTGAAAATGATAATAGATTTGATAGATTGTATTTACTTTTACTTTTCATCAGAGAAATTAATACTGTTGATCCTGATATGACTTAATCTCATAAAACCAATATGTCTAATAATCAAATTTTTTCTTTTTTATTGTTTAATATTTGCTTTAATTTCATGAATACCTTGTTTTTCACTTCCTGTAAGCTTTAGCAACAGAACTGTAGCAGAAATGCCCCTCTGACTTGGGCCTCTGTTGGCCTTACTGTACTGGCTCTCCAGCTACATGCTCAGAGTTAGACTTCTGTCTCTAAGCCTATGTTGGCCCCTGTACTGAGATCAGTAGGTGTTCCCTTATTTCTCCTGAGTGTAATAACTTCAGGAATGATCATAAGGTGACAGTTAACTATGTTTTAATTTTCTCACAAGGGTTCAAACACACTGTGTTTCTGGGTTGTACCTGGGCTCAGGTTTGTAGCCTACTGAACCCAAGACTTCGTTTGCCAGCTTTTGTAGGTTGTATCTCAGAACACGAAGGGTAAACTACATGTATGTTTAATATACGTTGGTGTTCTAGAGAAACAGATTCTTCTGTGAAAATATAGCACTACATTCAGGAAAAAGATATCATTATGTTTATAACAACATCTCAGAGATGTAATAAATAAACTTAAATTTCTTTCCAATAGAAAGTCTTTCTAGGATCCAATGTACATTTCTTCCATTCTACAGATTTTGCAGGCATAACACAGGTTTCATCCAATTAGGCCTTAAAGAATAAAATCTTCCATACATTCAGTTGAATTATCTTCATGAAGAATTGCACTAAATAAATAAGAATTAAAAATAAATGAAGAATTACACTTCATGAAGAATCTTGACAAACTGAGCCTACACACCCTGTCCAGAACCATAGTAGAACTTGATTTTCTCCAGTTCTGCTGTGAGAGAATAATTTAGAACTCAGGACAAAACACATGCCCTGACAACAATGGTGCCATTAACTTAGTGTCTGGCTCTGCGGAGCTGGCCCTGCCATGTGGATTTGGTTTCTACACCAGGGGCTGTATGGGCTTTGTGGTCACCCTTCTGGCCCTTGGACATTTGAATAGACTTCAGTAATTGGGAGAAAACCAGGAAGAGAATCTAGATCTCAACAAGCTGTTCAATCACCTGTTCTGTATCTCCCTCTTTTTGGGAGCTCTGGTAGCGTAGTGCCTAAGGCACTTGGCTGCTAACCAGAAGGCTGGCAGTTCAAACCCACTCCTCCAAAGGAAGGTTGGCAATCTACTTCTGTAGTGATACTGCTTCAGAAACCCAAGGAGGGGTCACTATGAGTTGGGTCCAATTTGATGGCATTTAACGACAACAACAACAACAACAACTGCTCTCTCTGGTAAATTCTTATTTGCAGGCACACAATTCAGCATTTTTTGTAGCTAGTTTCATGTTTTTAGTTAAACATAGTTTTTTAGGAGCTAATTAAGAATTAGTGTTTAATTCTAAATATTCCCTAAAAATTCTATCCTATTTTTAAAAATGAGAATGGAATTAGACTTTGTTAAAGCAATCATTTGCTTAGATTAAAACCAAAAAACCAAACCCACTGCCATCAAGTCGATTCTGACTCATAGTGACCCCTGACTCACAGTTGGATTTGCAAGGCTATAAATATTTACAGAGACAGATTGCTCCATCTTCCTCCTGTGGAATAGCTGTTGGATTTGAAACGTTGACCTTCTGGTTAGCAGCCAAATGCCTTACCCACTAATATTGCTGAGATTTTTACATTAAGGAGAAGTATGAATGAATGTTCATCTAATGAACTTTTTTTTTCCTATGCAGTCTTCGAAAAGAATATATTTAGAATTGAGCCAGTCAAGACACCAATAAATTATAATTTACCTAGTTTTTATTTTTATCAAAATAGGAGTTAGAATGAGCAGGGTAAAGAATTTCATCCTTCAGAGCACATTATTACCATTCTATAACGCTTTTAATCAATATCATCATCTTCTAGAGTTTTTGTAATTTCTTCCTAAAGCCTTATGTTTTTTTTCCCTGAAGGATGCATAATATAATTATATTCTTTGTTAATATAAATGGTTCTTTCATTGATTTTCTTAGAGGCATGTCTTCTCATATTCAAGACTCAAAATTAGAAGTTATCTACAGTTTGTTAATGTGCCTCATGGCATAATTAAATATTAATGTGCTTTCATCCCTTAACTTTTTTTGCAGACTCAGCACCTTTCTTTCTTCATTAACAAGTTCTAATGTTCCACTGAAGTAACGAATAAAGCATTTCTCTAGATTTTTAGCACAGAATATGACCACTGTAACAATGGCTTTATATAGGAGATTTTAGCACTATTTACAACTTGTTGGAAGTGAATTAGAGACTTTTGAATGATGCCAATTTGAGTCACTAAAATGCTATTCAGCAAAAATGTAAAGTGCAATGTTGGTTCATTAAAAGAGCCCATCATTTCCACTTGCTCTCAAAAAATACACCAATGCATGTTCAATTTAACAAATGCTTACTGACTGCCTTCTGCATACCTGGTTCTGAGCTGTGGAGAATAGAGAGGAACTGAATACAACCACTACCATCAAACATAGGGCAGTGGAGAAAACAGGAATAGATGTGAATAACTCTTCTTGTTGTTGTTATGTGCCATTGAGTCGACCCTGACTCACAGCATCCCCTCCTTGGTTTTCCGAGGCAGTATCACTACGGAAGTAGATTGCCCATCCTTCCTTCTGAGGAGTGGCTGGTGGGTTTGAACCGCCAGCCTTCTGGTTAGCAGTCAAGTGCCTTAGGCACTATGCTACCAGAGCTATGTGATAGTGTACAAACAAGATATAATAAAGGAACAGGGAAGTAATAGATTCTAAATGTGTGAATTATATGGCATTACTGAGGAAAAGCACCTTCAGGTAGATTTTAAAATATAAGGTTTATAGGTATTCATGGTTTGTGAGGAAGCAAAGAGATGGGTGTAAAAGTGTCCAGCCTGGCTAAGAAGCAACAAGAATTCAGAGTGATTAAATTCCTGACACATGTATGATTTTTATTGGGCAATAATTGCTTGAAAAATCAATTCAACTCAATTGTTGAGAGGTTTATGTGAATTTTTTTCTGCAAACAATGAGGAGATAGTAAAATGGTACACGTGTTTTTTCTTTTTTCTTCATGTGAGGTAATTGGATCTGTATTTTAGAATTGTTGTTCTTGTTATATGCCGTCGAGTCGGCCCCAACTCATAGTGACCCCACCTTGGGTTTCCAAGGCAGTATCACTACGGAAGTAGATTGCCCAACCTTCCTTCCGAGGAGTGGCTGGTGGGTTTGAACAGCCAGCCTTCTGGTTAGCAGTCAAGTGCTTTAGGCACTACGCTACCAGAGCTCCCGTATTTTAGAAAGATGAATGTAATTAAAACACCAAGGATAAATTGATTTAAACAAAAGAGAGGCTGGTGCAAGGAATTACTTTTCTTGTAATAATATGAAAGGGTGGATTTGATAACTTGAACAGTGGTAGAGAGAGAAATGGGGGAATAATCCTGAAATGTATATACAACAAAAAACTAACCCAAACACACTGCCGTCAAGTCAATTCCAACTCTTGGTTGCTTTCCTAGGCATCTCTATAGAAGTACACTGCCTAATCTTCCTTCCAAGGAGTGGCTGGTGGGTTTGAACTGCCAGCCTTCTGGTTAGCAGTCAAATGCCTTTGGCATTATGCCACCAGAGCTCCATATCGGAGATGGAAAAGTTTTTGTCATGAGAATAAGTACTTTTAAGGATATTGGAGAATTGAGCTGCTCGTAGGTGGGAGGGAAGGAAATAATAGAAAAATGGAAATGTGGACTAATAGAAAAAAATAGGAATAATGTAAAGCAAAACATCACAGAGGAGATGAGAAAGAGGATGGCCCCTATGCAGAGGTAGCCTGGGAAATGGCCTCCAAAAGGACCAGAGGCTTGACTTCCTCTCAGACTGGACCTAAGGGGACAATGATAGAATAACAGAGAATCTTCAGGTGAAAAGGGCACATAAATCCACATTTATTGATAATATAAAAGAATCAGTCTCTTTGTCAGCTATCGCAGGGGTAAATCTTATTGCAAACTTTACATTCCACTATATTTACCAGATACCAAAAAATACAAATCCATTGCTGCTGAGTCAATTCTGGCACATAGTGACCCTAGAGGAGACTAGAACTTCCCCACAGGGTTTCCAAGGCTGTCATCTTTACAGAAGCAGACTACCACATCTTTCTCCTATGTAATGGCTAGTGGGTTTGAATGCCTGACTTTTTGGTTAGCAGCCAAGCACTTAACCACTGGGCCATCAGGGCTCCTTAACAGATAGTAACATATTAATTCTATCATCTACTCTGGCAAAATAATTCATGGACATTCATTTTTATTTGTCCATATTAGACATTGTCCATTCATAATTGTCTTGCATTAGTTGAATTTTTTTGTTGAAGTGGTACCATTTATTCAAAAAGACAATATAATTGTTTGGCTAGTTAATATAAATGGTAAATTGTTGTTTTGTTGTTGTTGTTATGTGCCATCAAGTCAGACCCGACTCATAGTGACCCCTCCTTGGTTTTCCAAGGCAGTATCATTACGGAAGTAGATTGCCCCATCTTCCTTCCAGGGAGTGGCTGGTGGGTTTGAACTGCCAGCCTTCTGGTTAGCAGTCAAGTGCCTTAGCCACTATGCTACCAGAGCTCCCAAATGGTAAATAGGTTAATATAATTGAGTCTAAAATACAATGGTGGTTAATAATCTTACAAGGAAATAAAAACTATTTTCACAAACAACAGACATCACTATTTACATTGATGCTTTTCTTGCTGCCTGGAAGATCTAGGTTTAGGGATCGTGTTCTTCTTCAATGTAATATACAGAGGACTGCCACATAGGGATAAGAAAACAAACAAACAAAGAAGCTTGCATTTCTTAGTGGTAAAGATGACCCAGTGGGAGAATGATTCATATCCCTTTCCTGTTTTTCCTTCCCTGTGATTTCACCTGCTTTAGGAATCTGCTACAGCAGTTTTTTAAATCAACAGTTCATGGTTAAAAGAAAAGTACCAATTGTAGCAGCAGGAATCCCCATCACCCAAGCCTAAAAGTTTTCAGTAAACTAAAAGTAGCAGAGAGTAATGTATTTACAGTGTAGTGGATTTATTAGCGTCACTTCTCTTCCCGGCTTCTCTCACTCCCAGCTTCTCTTTGCACAGTCTAGTACTGTAACTAATCAGGGCATTTACAAACTACAGGCTGTTTCATATGCTTATGAGCTTGTGCAGCATCAGATCAAAGTGCCTTTGCCTTCAATTTCTAGAAAAGCATTTAACTTGATTTACGACTTAAAATTCCTAAGATTTTACCATTTGAATCCCCAAAACACTATGTGACAAATGTGAAACAGTTCATTATTCTGAAGCATTTTCTCTAACTTTGCAACCACTGATTTTTCTGAAGTTGTCTTTTTCTTTAAAAAAAAAAAAAAATCAGATTTTCACGTTCCCCTGGATATTACATTTTAACTCTTTGAGTTTATAAGTGGATCAAGTTTCCATTCAAAGTACAAAATTCCACATTTGTAATTTAGCTGGTATTTAGCGGCCTACACTAAGAACCAATGTGACGTGCAAGTTAAATATGATCCCCAAAACAAAAAAAGAGAATGTCTGTTTTATGTAATCTATTTCTACACCAATAGTAAAGTAGACTTTGGTACAAAATGTTTTGGTACAGAAGTTTTCTTCATCTCTGTCTGAGACAGAGAACGTTCTAATCTAAATCCTAATTTTTCCCCCAGTATATGGCAGTGTTTGGTTTTGGTTTTTGGATCATATAAGATGCAAGAAAACTACAATCATTGCCAAAAACACTGGTATTTATGAATTCTTCAGTTTGGTAGGAATACCTTTTGGTGAGAGAGGAGGGCAGAGGAAGACCTCCTTGTGGGGAAACTGAATTTATTATTCCAAGAAGCCCTTTATCCTCCTCTTTAAAGGAAATTGTACCATGGAAACCTGTTACTACCAAGAGGCAAATCACCTAGCTAATTTCCCTAGTGAGAAATAGAGTATCAAGTTTCCAGCCTTCTGTTTATTTTACAAGAATGGAACTGGAGATGTGCTAAAAACACACTGGATATCAAAGACTGAATATGATTAAGTCTATTGATCTGCTGACATTTGTCTTTTGTTTTTATATTCTCACACAGTCCTGACATCAATCGTACTGAAAACCACATCATGAAGAATCACAAAAATGGAAAGAGCTAACATTTTTCTAGGAGCTCTGGTAGCATAGTGGCTAAGACACTTGACTGCTAACCAGAAGGCTGGC